AAAGAGCGGGTCGAGAAATGGCTTGCTAGGGCCTCTAAAGATCGTTTTGAACCAGGGGAGACTCCTAGACCCTACTGGANCAACTGCGTGAAACACACAGGCGTATAAAAATACAACTGCGTGAAACATACAGGTTTATAAAAATACAATTGCGCGAAACACACAGTAGTATAAAACTACAACTGCGTGAAACACACAGTAGTATGAAACTTCAACTGCGTGAAATACACAGCAGTATGAAAATTCGGCTGCGTGAAACACACAAACTTCACGCATGCGTGGAGTGTATGGAGTGTACGGGAGTGATTCACGCAATGGTGCGAATAGTCACGGCCTTTTTCAAACTTTGCTGATTCGAATGAAATTTTCCTCCAAAATTCTGAAGTAAATTAGAATATTTCACCACTTAAGCCTCAATTATTTGTGATAATAGGACGGTGGCCCAAGAAATCTGCGGAATTCCTCCTTCAGCTCTTGAGAAACGCTGAATCTAATGCTGACCACAAAGGTCTTGATGTTGACCGTCTCGTCATTGATCACATTCAAGTTAATCATGCACCTTGCCTTCGTAGACGGACGTACAGAGCCCACGGTCGCATTAATCGTAAGTGGTCATTTTTATTTAGAAAAAAATTGTTCTTATTGGATGTAGATTCCAAAAACTTGACTAAAAGTTGTTTGAATCTAATAGGAGAAATAATAAGATAATTTAGTGACTTTTGTGTCTTATCACTTTGAGAATTTGCATTCTCCGGATAATTTCCCTGTTCAATCGTTGTCTTGCTCCCTTTCAAAAGTAAATGAGATTCTTATCAATTAAAAATCGAAATTCACAATAAAAAGAATGAAAAAACTTGTGAAATTGAATATTCAAAGGATGTTTCGATCAATTACGTTTTTCAGAACTAGAAATGACAGTTTTTACTGTAAAAAATCCTTATAATTGTTAATCATCAACGTGAGGATTTTTTTGCAATAAATTAACGATTCCAGCCAGTAAATTCTTCAACTTGAAAATTGGTTTACATCCAAAAATGAATATTAGGATTATAATCAATGAAATATCGAAACTTGAAAGAACAATAAACGGATAAACTTGTGAAGTTGAATATTCAATAGATGTACCTCTTTACAGCTTACATGAGCAGCCCCTGCCACATCGAAGTGATCCTGACTGAGAAGGAAGACGTAGTAGCTAAAGCCACCGAGGAAGAACCCTCCAAGAAGAAACTGAGCAAGAAGAAGCTTGCCCGCCAGAAGGAGAAGATGATGAGAGAATAGAGGAATAACGGTGACTTTATACATTTACAAGGAACTGTATTGTGAATTAAAGAGTTACACTATTCGATAATCATTGAACACTTCATTTCCCTCGTTCTCTTTTCATTTCCCTTACGAATGGAAACTTTGTAATCGTTCAAATTTGGGTTTAGATTTTTTTTTATTTCAACATTATGATCCATGAAGTCTGAAAATACAGATTTTAACGAAATTGAATCATTCTTCTTGTTCAAATGTGGGTATTTTTTAGCCCTATCGATGACATTAACTGAAATTTAATTCATTTGTTAATTTTTAAAATTTATTTATTTATTTATTTAACGAATGAAAATTTTTCTGAATTCATTGACCGGTGGCTTAAAAAATCATTTTGATGTCCTTTTAAATAACTTCGAAAATGAAGACGATAATCCTTGTTTTGATTTATAGAATAATTTTAAAAAAATTGGATTTTTCGAAAATGAGAATTTCGGAGGTATCTTTGGATATAAAGTTTCAAATTCATTATAATATGCATAAAATATAGATAACATCCTCCTTTCATTTGATATATGCAAGCAATTTCACAAGAAATCTGACAGTTGTTGAAAACAAGAAATGCAATTAAATTTAACAGAAAATATAAAATAATAGATGATATACGACAGTAGAAAATGATGTGCACAATTACCTTTCGGAAGCATATTGCTAATTTATCAGCAAAAATATTTACATGAAGACAAGCACGTTCTCACTTTAATGATCTTTTAATGGCAGTTTATCGGACACAAAATCCGGTTTCATAATGGAAAAACAGTGGAGTAATCAAATGTTGCATTCTACCTCACCACAATATTCTATTTATTCTTACTTCTTTTATTTCATTCATAAATTGACTCTGACATAATCCAACGAGTCACAGAGCATATCCACGTACTTATACCTAAGAAAATATCTCTGAACGTTAACAATGATTAATACAAGAAACAAAGATAATACAAAACATTGGAGGAGTTGAGCACTGTTGCACTATCTGTAAATATTTTTATTTTCACTTCCCCTCAATCACATAATTCAGTTCAGTTTTTCATGATTGCAGGCGCTTCTGAATTATTGCTTCTTGATGGCGCTCAATAATAATACTATAATGTTCTACCAATGTCTCAACTACGGACTAACTGGGCAATTTGTGGTCTTTCCGGTCATCGAGCCGCTTCATTATCTCTTCTCACTTTTTTTTCTCAGTTTTCCTTTGTGGTAGGGGATATGACATTCTTATATTAATTGCTAGGGAAATGCATTGTGACTATACATGGAATTCTCAGGTAGAGATGTTCGTACGTTTTATGACGATCAGGTGTCAGGAAAGTGGTTCGCGGGTCGTGTTTGGTAAAAAGAGACATAATAAGCCGCCCCCTGAAACACAAAAAATTTGCGGTCATTAATGATTTTGTTTGGATGGAAATCGTGGGGAAAATTGAATGAATTATTACGTTTTTTTCATTTCGATGAATAAGAATAAATCAATTAGTTGCGAGTTTTGAATTTTTCGAAATGAAAATAACCGCAAAATGGTAACTTCATGTAAAAATAGAAAAAATTTTTTAATGAAAAGAAAATTGAAAATTACCATTTTTAAATGTAAAATGGATATTTTTCAATAATAAATATCTTTCATCAAATTCCCATATGAATAACAAAAAATTAATGATTAAAAACAAAAACTTTTGAAACTTTTGATTTTTGATTAATGACTAAAAACGTTTTGAAATAAAAACGTTTTTAAAATAAAATAGAGAAATGAGAAAAAATAGAACACTTATAAAAAAAATGGAAGAATTGAATATTTAAAAAAGTTTCAACTTCTAGTTTTTTCAAAATAAAAAAACGCTTTCAGTATAAATTACAAAAACAAAAAAAATGACATGACATTTTCTGGAAAATCGAAAAATGATAACAAAATGTAATGAATGAGGCACATTTTTTAATGAAATTTTCTTGTTTTGAGGTTTTATTCGCTAAAAAAGTATGCAATACTCCAATTTAGGAGTCACTATACCAATGAGGAGTCCGGCAACGATGAAGGTTGACGCTCCACACATGGTGTCCAACAGTTGTGCTATGGCAATATTGCCGATGATACCACCTAATCTCGCGGCAACCATGGAAATAGCGATACCAGTGGCACGTAAGTTTGTGGGAAAGACTTCGGTTATAAGACAATCGAGTGCCGCGTTACCACAGCTTATAACGCCACTGAAGAACGCTGATACAATGAGATTATGGAGTTTATTATATACGAAGTAGAGACTCATGGAACAGATACCCGCTGAGAGAGTACTGAAAACTGAAGAAAATAATCGTTTTATTAGTATCAAGAGGCGATAAAATGAAATAATGGAAATGCATGTAGAAAAATTGGATTTGGAAAAAATTCTTGTTGAAGTCAGGTATCGGCATCAATTATATTAATAAAATTGAGAGAAGTTGCAGCTTAAAATGATTGAGGTTCACTTATCTTCATTGAAGGTCAATTTTCAACTGACTGAATTAAATAATTGACAATATGGTATTGTCAATTGACTATTGAGTGAATAATTCTAAATTTCATCAAGATTTTTCAATCATCTAAATAAACGTTTGACTTCGGAACTCAATTATTGATTGATAAAATAATTCGGCATTTGAAAATTTAATTGATTAATTTAATCATTAAAAAATTAGTGAGTAACATTAACCAATTGACTAATTCAAGATTTAACTTAATTTAAAATTCATAATTATGTCTGGTTGAAATTCCTGTTCTATATGCATTCTATATGGCCTTTTTTCCTTTATTATATATTTTGTGTGAAAAAATCGATTTCGATGTTTTTCTAACTCATTCTCTTGAAATTTTTAAGATGCAATTGCTTGCATATAAATTTTTAGACACAATTGCTCTATAATTTTTTTCATACATGATTAACTGGTAATAAAATCAAATTATGGAAAATAATGGAAAAAATTCAATACAAGAATGAAATTCCTATGGAATTCTATGACTTAATTTTCCTTAAATATTAATTGAAAATTTCAAAACCTTTCCATGCAACTTTGTAATAAATATTAGATAGAAAAAAAACAACTCTGCTTTTCTCGTTAAAAATTTCAAGAAAAAACAAAATTGAAAAATTCATTCCCAAGTATTTTTTTTCTACAAAATATCAATCCAATTCCCGAAAGAATTCCAATAGAATTGCCTCTTCTGAATTTTTTCACTCAAGATGTCATTGTGACGTATAAAACTCACCGAGGAAAAATTTTCTCCCCAAGCGATCCATTCCAAGAACAGCCACGATATTAGCAGGAATAGCGGCAGCAACTGTGATGATTGACTCAATAAATACATCTTTACCAATGGTATTGACACACACTGCATCAGCAGCGAATTTAGCATCCCTGTCTTTCAAATAGAAAGCGGTAACTTCACAAATGTGAGCTTCTTTATTATTATTATGCCTGGCGTAGGTGTCGAAACGATTGAATAATTCTGGGAACCACATCATCAACCCATAGTAACCAATGTGGAATGTAAAATTGATGAATATTGATATCAGGGTGAAACGAAGAATTGGTGAGGCAAATAGTTGTTTACTATTGTCGAGGATGTCACCAAGCATAATTTTGTATTTACTCTTTTCATCAGATCCAGATTTTACTGGTGCTGACGTGATGAAATCATCGAGAATTAATTCTTTAACCTGTGGAGAAGAAAATTAAAATATTAAATACACAAATTCATAGATATGAATTTTACGAAAAATAAATTTTAATTCTATTCATTCTATCAATTTAATTTAATTCTATACAACTTTTTCTATTGAGATATTCTCATTCGATTTTTCTGCTCAAGAAATTTATATATAAAAATCGAATCGAATTAGAGATATTCAATGAAATTTTATGAACAAATAGAAATCAATCTGTCAACTAAAAACTTCAATTTAAAAAAGTGAGGAATTTTCCCGAGAAATCTAAGAGAATTTCATTACGAAAACGTTAGGTTTTCGCTCAATTTTTTTGTGCATGTCAACCTGAATAATTACCGTGTAAGTATCACGGGGTTTGCCGGTGTTGGTGGCGTAAATGCCACGGAAGATATCGAGGGCCTCCTCATATCTACCGCGAGATAATAAATACTTAGGGGATTCAGGCAGGAGCAGTAGTAGCCCCGCCACTATGAAGGAGGGAGCAGCGCAGATCAGCAGGAAAATTCGCCAAGAATTGAATGTGAACGTTTCATTGGTGATACCGATGTTGTGAGGGATGATCAGCCATGCCAGGCCTGCAAAATAATCATTGCGTTATTTTTATCCTGTAATGCATTATCAACAAAATTTATGAATCAATGAAAATTAATCAATTTCATGAAGATTACCGGCAACAAATAGATTCCCCAGTGTCCAAAATGCAGCCATGAATGAGAGCATGGATCCACGCTTTGATTTTGGCTGGAACTCTGCAAAGTACGACCAGATGACCGGTCCACTGCCACCAAGACTGAAAATATTGTGAAGAAAAGAACAAAAATTAATTACACAGACCTGATTTCACTGTTTCACCTGATCATTCACTGTTTTATATTATTCTGTTAAATGGAATTGTATTTCTTCTTTAATCAATTGTGTTAAATTTCTTGTGAAAATTCTTGTATAAATGAACCCGTACAAAAAAATTTAAGAGAAAAACCTAGCGAATTTGCTAGTCAATTTTATTGGATTTCCATTGAACTATTCAATAAAAAATATTCTGCAGGAAAAGTCAATCGAATTTGATTTTTCTAGCTTATTCTAGAAACTTATTCTATTGTGATATTTTCTATTGGATATTATTATCACAATTATATTCCAAAAAGCAATATTAATTTTAAAATTAACATCATTATTATTATTATTATTATTATTATTATTATTAATGATGATAATAATATCAATATTATTGTTATTATTATTATTAATATCAATATTAATATTAATGCATCATAAATTAAATATTTTATAATAAAAAAAACTTTGATGACTTACGCAGCTCCATTAAGAAAACGGAAGA